AAACAGACTCTGAGACTCTGGAATCCGCAAGCAGGAGGTTTACCAGGGAGAGCTCTCAGGAACATCTGTGTGGGCACAGGGGCAGCAAGACTGGGCCGAGGGAGAAGCTGAAGAGCGTTGACAGTAACACAGCTGCAACAGCAGCCTCAGCTAATCCTACCAAGAGTCCTGAAGCTGGATGGTCCTTCACAGAGGCTCTAATCAAGGCAAGGGGATGATTCTTTGTATCCCCCACATCAGCCAGTAATTAAGTTCAGGCTGCTTCCAGGAAGGGGACATAATCTTGGGTGAACGGCAGCTTCCTTCTGCAAGGGCAACTCCCAGAGAAGGATGCAGCTGGGAGCCCTCAGGAGCCATGACTGCAGGCAGCTAGGGGAATGTGTCTCAGCCCTGAAGGGGGATCTAGGTGCCACACCAAAGCATCCACTACAATGAATGTACCTTACCTGCATTAGAGATACTCATAAAGGGCTATAAACTGGCTGGGGATTGGGTGGCGGGGGACAGGAGGCAACATGGATGACAGGATCTCACACACACACACACACACACACACACACACACACACGGAGATCTCAGTAGAGAAGGACACCTACTATCTTCTGGAGCCTACTATTGGGCAGGTCACCTTACATGACATCAAATTTTATCACCAAATTATTGATTCCTGAAGACATTGTTTTTGCCAGCAAAGATGCTGAAAATAGGGTTAAAATGTACCAGAATTTGTAGGGCTGGCCCCCATGGCACAGCAGTTGAGTATTCATGCTCCACTTTGGTGGCCTGGGGTTCTCCAGTTCGAATCCTGGGTACAGACCTAGCACCACTTATCAAGCCATGCTGTGGCAGGCATCCCACATGTAAAATAGAGGAAGATAGGCACAGATGTTGGCTCAGGGCCAGTCTTCCTCAGCAAAAAGAGGGTTGGCAGTGGATGTTAGCTCAGGGCTAATCATCCTCAAAAAAAAAAGTACCAGAATTTGTTATATAACTCACCTAAAATGCTACTTTGGGACTGCAAATGATCTGTAGACTCCAAACACCACTTCCTTCTTCTTAAATAACACTTTTACCCTGAAAAAGCACCTTACAAATCACCTAGGTGGTGACCTCGTTGGACAGATAAGGAAAGCGAAGCCAAGGGAAGCTCAATGATTCGCTTAAGATCACACTCAGAGCAGAGGTACAACCTGAACTCAGGTCTTGTAATTCCAAATTCAGTGATTTCTCTACTTGCTCTGGTGCCTTTATCCTCAAAACCTTAACAAAACCAAAATAACCCTGAGGCATGACTCTTATTGTAAAGCTCAGAATATCAACCCCCCCTACATCATTTGTATTTCCAAAATCAAGCACATGAGAAACTTCAGTTTTAGACTAAAGAAATTTCGATTGGTAGTCTGCTAAAGAAAATAATTTACCTTTCTATTAATGATAATAATAGCTAACATATGATCTCTATGACAGGCTAAGCACTTTATTTACATTATATCATTTAATCCACACAACAATCCTCTGAATAAAGTCAAAGGGATTGTTCCCATTAGCCAAGAGAGAAAAAGTAAGGTTAAAGAAGCTAAATAAGTTGTTAGCTAAGATCACAAATGCAATAACGCACAGAGCTGGGCTTCCACCTGACTTCAAAGCTTGTGCTCTTCATATTACATCATCCACTAGGCCGCAGCCCTATGCCTCTTGGCAACTTTTTTCCTGAACTTTTCAAATTTCTATAATGTATAAGATTTCTTTTCATAAGCAGAAATATATTCTTTTATTACTTTCAAATATTTTTATTTATAAAACTAAATCATTGCTTAAAATATTTAGAAGTTGTGGGGCCGGCTCAGGGGCAAGTGGTTAAGTTTTCGCGCTCTGCTGCAGCGGCCCAGGGTTCGGATCCGGGGCACGGACATGGCACCACTCGTCAGGCCACGTTGAGGTGGCGTCCCACATCCCACAACTAGAAGGACGTGCAACTAAGATATACAACTGTGTACAGGGGGTGTTTGGGGAGATAAAAAGCAGAAGAAAAAAAAAAAAAAGATTGGCAACAGTTGTTAGCCCAGATGCCAATCTTTGCGGGGGGGGGGGGGGGGGATTGGCAACAGTTGTTAGCCCAGGAGCCAATCTTTAACAAAAAAAAAAACATTTAGAAGTTGCAAATAGATAGAACATTATATCAGAAAAAGAAACGTCTTACAGAACAAAATAAATTTATACTCTCTTCTGAGAGCTCTAAATCACTATGATTTACCACTTAACCCATCCCACACAACAATGTATTTTAGCATAGCATTGTATAAAGATTCTTAAAACATTTTCCAAATATTATGTAGCTAATAAAGTCCAAATAAAGTAAGAGTGAGACTCTGGAAAAACTTTTATAATAGCATACTTAAATAAAACTTAACCATAGTCTGATATTAAAAACTGAGATGAGGGAAATAATGTGATTTTTATTAAATTTCATCTACTTTTGTGACCCATGCAACACTTAACAGATATCTATGCAACTAAATGTTCAGGTTATTGTATTAATATGTCAATCAACCACAGTGCAGGCAAAGGCCATGGATCCATCCTAAAAGAAACTACCTTACCACTGCCCATGTTGAGAACATAGACAGCCAGGTTATATGACCCCATTGTCTATTACCGATTGATGACACGTGATCCCCAGGACCCAACAGCAGCCATTCACAAGGTAGACAGCAGCCAATAAAATGGCTCAGTGGCCCCCAAAAAAAGAAAAAAATGCTCCAATGCCAAGAATGAAATACTGCTGAGCACCATGCTTAGGCCTTTGAATTGCAAACTATAAAGAGAAGTGATTAACTAGCCCCTCAAACTGACATACGGTATAGTCATGAGGTAAAGTAAGAGCATACGAGCGACTTGAGTAAATCAAAGTTATAACCCAGCCAAAGTTTCAAAAGGCCCTGGACTCTGAGCATGTAGAAGCTATGAAAAGAAAACTAGAATAGAGGGTAAGAAAATCAGCTGATAGCAGAAACAAAAGTATACAGATACAAGGGACACAAATATGTGAAGAGGCCCTGAGTCCTTTAACAGCTGAACCCTAGAGTGAAAAATCTACAAAGCCCTGTCACGGAGGTCTGAATAGCACTACCCAGGACCCTTCAAAAAGCCTGCCAGTAAAAATGTTTCAGGGGCTCAGTCCCATATTTAATTTTTGATTCTGCATTTCAATGACATTCCATCTTTCTTATTGCCGAGTGCATCCTTATAACGACCATTACCCTCTTTTTCAGTTAACCTGATGGACCCTTTATTCCTAGAACCAAAAGAACCTAATCAGAACTATTATCATTGTTTCAGAGCTGGTAAATCTTATTTCTAGAAGAATGATCTGTAAAAGATATGTCCACGGTGCCTCAACTTCTAGAGGAGGAATCCTAAGCATCATATGACCCCACTCCACTCCCAATCTCAGTTGACTAAACCAGCAATGGACACCTGACTCAGAGGAGGCAGTTTTACTGGCCAGCCAGAGACCTATGCATGACCTGACAAGAAAAAATAATGAGGAGGATGTTTAAATTCTTCTCTTGGGATTTGGGCATTGAGACACTGGGCCACTTGGCTATGCAAAGCTAAGGTGAAAAGCATGTAGAATCACGTGGCCAGATAGCCATTTGGGGTCCTGAACATAGTGAGTAAGCAGCAGCCAGGAGGATGGATGCAGAGACTCAGAGACAAGATGTCAGTGGTCCATGGGAGAGTCCAACGCAGAGAAGAGCTGCTTCTGTCCCTGACACCACTCGAGGTCCTACCCTCTAGAGACCCAACTGTACAGCTATTCCTGTTCTTGGATCACTTTGAAACCTTACAATAAAACTCCCTTTCAACTTAAATTGATTTGAGAAAGTTTGTAGTCCTTGAAAATAAAGCGCTTATTAGAATGTGGTCCAAGGATGACAGATTACATTCACGCATTTAATATTTAATTACCTTGTTTCCTCTCCTCCATATTTCTTAGAAGAGTAGGTAGTCTGTGCTCCCTGTTTCTATTTCCTTACCTCCCAGTCAATCAGTTCTCCCTAATACCCTCCTGAAACTGAACTAGGTATGACCTGTTTCATTTGGTGGACACTTTTCACTTCTTATTTGACTTGACTTCTCCCCAATATTTGGAAATATCTAATACTCACCTTCACTTCTCTGCTGAGTGTGGGATGTATATTTCCACCTGCCTACTGAACATCTCAACTGAGATGTCCACACCTCTAGTTCACACTCATCTTCCTCCCCAAACCTGTTCTTCTTCCTCTATTCTTCAGCTTAGCCCATGCCACCATTCTCTCAGCTGGGCAAACTACTCTCACTCAACAAGTCCTATCAAGTCTCTCTCTTAACTTTCTTGAAAATCAATCTATTCTCTCTCCCCAAAGCCCAAATTCAAGCTTTCATCATCCCCTAGACTATCAGAGACGCAGAAATTCTGATTCAATGGAGGGACTTGGGAATCTGTTTTTTCTAAGGAGTCTCAGTGATTCTAATGTACAACAATTTTAAGAACTACAATAACTGTCTAGCTGGCCTCCCCCTTAATGCAGTCATGCTCTCTACAAAGCTACCAACTAGTCAACATACATTACTGAAAAACCACCAAGTATCAAGTACTAAAATAGATCCTACACACTAAGAAAGAAAACAAAATCCCCACCCTAAGGAAGCTCAGTCTAGTAGGAGAGAAATCAAGTAAACAAATTACAAAAACAATATTGTAAACGTTCTGGAGATATGTAGTGTCACAGTTACTATATACTAAGTGTTTACTGAATGGTGGATACGTGGTGAGTGCTCCATGGACATTATTTCATTTAATCCTTCCAACAACACTGTGAGGTACACGTTATCCTCAATTTACAACTGGGCCTCAGGCAGCTCGAAATTTTGGACAAGTTCTCACCCTCATGAGTAGAGCAGCCCCGGGTTTAAATGATGGTCTAATTGGAAAACCCTGTTCTCTTCACTAGTGTGGGGTTCTTTGGGAGAAGAAGAAAAAAGAAAAACACAAGCAAGTAACTCCTAGCATTACATGAACTGAGCAATGTGGACAACTGATGAAAGGACACTCTGAGCAGAATAAGGAGCTTCTACAGAGGTATGAAGGGAGATACAAAACAGGGTAAGTTGTGGGAATCACAATTAGCAAGGATGGCAAGGCCAGTGCATGTACAGAGGTATGCGGAGATGAACCTGAAATGGTATAAAGGAACCAGGGCATTATGGGCCTCTGTGTCACGGTAGTTTCAACATCTCCTGTGTGCACTGAGTAGTCACCAACAGATTTTAGAAGAGTGATTCACCTGATTTGCTTTTTATAAAGATTACCTAGGAAAAATATTTTGGGAGGGTTTTCCTTATTATAAAATTGATCATTTAAAAACTTTCCATGGCTCTTTATTGTCTATAATAAAAGCCCAAAACCCTTTCCAGTCTCATCTCTTAGAATTACCCCATCTACAGACAGAAACACTCATAATTCCCCTATGCTGTGCTAGGCTGTTTCACGCTCTTGCATTTCCTTCGTCTCTGTCTCTCAAATGCCTTCTCTCCCTTGCTCCTCATTGACTGAGTTACTTCCAGCCTCTGCAAGGTCTTCAACAATCCCCATTCCGTTTCCCCTAAACAAACACACTGCCCCACCCTTCCACCAGAGAATTAGGTACTGTCTCTTTTGTGCTCACAAACTCTTTCTCTGTGTTATCTATTAACACCACTTATCACACTGCTTTATAATTAAAGTATCTGTCTCCCCCATTCAAACTCCTCAGAGCTTTTTAACCCCACCCCAGCACGGTAATTAGCACAGAAGAAATGTTCAATAGCATGATGAATGACTGCGCACACACCAAAAAATAGAGTTTAAGAACAAAAGATAAAAGAAGGGAGTGATAAGGAAAGTAATCTGTGAAGAAATTTGGAGTATATAATAATAACAAAACACCAACATTAGCAGCAACTAACATTTATAGAGAGGATTACTATGTGCCAGATACTCTTGTAAGACCTTTACATGTATTAATCCATTTTATCCTCACAATAACCCTATGAGAAGGGTACTACTATTATGAGCATTTTAATGAGACAGAGAAGTCCAGTAACTTGCCCAAAACTATTCAGCTAGTAAATGGGGTGTGGATACCACCCCAGTCAGTCTAGCTCCAAAGTTCAGGTTCTGAACCACTAACTATACTGTCTCTTTAGCTCAAGCAAAACACCACTGGGATTAGAAGAGAAAACTGAGTTCTAGCCGTGGTTCTTTTATATCTTAATCTCTTCTTTATTCTTAACACACTAAAAATAAATCCACACAGAAAATAATCCCACTTTTTAAAATTTGTTTCAATAAATGACTAATAATTTCACCAAACCTAATGTGTAACTAATCAGAGAAGCCTTCCCCCGCATCTTACTTTCGATCACGGCCCTCTTGCTGTGTGCTCTTGGGACTCCCCGTGCTTTTCCTTCCTAACACTCATCCAAGGATGTGACCATACAGTTATGTGATTCTTCAAACAATTCCTCTCTCTTCCCCTGGACATTAAGCTCCTCGAGGGTTCATGTCTGTTTTACTGATCAACGGGTCCACAGCACACAGGAGGCTCAAAACAGATGTTTGGGGAGTAGATATGCTCAAAAGGTCTTCCCTATTCACCTTTTCTTCTGCTCACATTGCCATCATCCTAATGCAAATGACAATTATCTAGTACCTAAAATATTAAACTCACTCCCATCTGATTTCTGCTTATTATCTCCTATGGTTTTAATACATCCCATGCAACACTGGCAAATTAATCTTCCTAAAACATTTCTTTTGATATTCATTCAGTATATATTATTAACTCCTACCACGTGCCTGAAGGAAACCAGAATATATCATACGAAAATACACCACTTTGGCACATTGATTATTTTGAATTAAAAGCACTTAAGAAACAGCAGGTACAAGGACACTGTGACCCTCTTTTTACTTCTTGAAGGCAGGAGATAGACCTCCCAGATGAAAGGCACCCTTCCTGTACCAGGAGAGTAGAAGGCATCCTTACCATCAAAGACAGAGAATTCAGGGCTGAGAAATCTGTACAAACAAACCTTGTGAAACTAATCATTACCTTCCTAGTTATTTCTTCACCATTTTCTACTCCTAGCCCAAACTGCTTTGTCTTGTCAATTCTTCACAAATTCATTGTTTCTTTGTCTAAAAGATATAAACACTTCCTGCTCTGGTCACTTCTTTGGGTCTTCATTCTCTTGTGAAGGCTCCCAGGTACATGCCAAAATTTAATGAAATGTGTGTGCTTTTCTCTTGCTAATTCATGTTACGTCAGTTTAATTCTTAGGCCCAGCCAGAAACCCAAAGAGGGTAGAGGAGGATTTTCCCTCCTCTACATGCCGAATATATTTCACTGCTTAATAAAATCTTATTGCTTTCCTAACACCTACAGAATAAACTTCAAAATTTTAGTGACATCTGTCTGGTGAAACAAGAAGGAAAGCCACCCCAGACCTTGGTCTCTAATACCATTCCCCACCAAAAGGAATCAAGGCTCCTCAGAGAAATGGCTAATTTCAGTGCTGGGAAATGGCAGATAAAGGATGAGCTTAGAATACCTTGTTATGCCAGAAAGTAAGGAAGAGCTCAAAAAAGTGATACGGGCATGTCAAAAGGACATAGGAGGCACCCTGAAGGGGCTCCCACTGTTCCAATCTGGGACAATTTGAGCACCAAAATAATTAAGTACAGTGTTGAGTTATAAACCATTTAAAAAATGAAATTATGGAGCCAGCCCTGTGGCCTAGTGGTTAAGTTTGGTGTGCTCCACTTCAGCGGCCCAGGTTCAGTTCCTGAGAGTGGACCTACACCATTCATCGGCAGCCATGCTGTGGCAGCAACCTACATACAAACTAGGGGAAGACTGTCACAGACATTAGCTCAGGGCAAATCTTCCTCAAACAAAAGAGAGGAAGATTGGCAACAGATGTTAGCTGAGGACAAATCTTGCTCAGCAAAAAAAAAGGAAATTATGAGTCTATACCAATAGAAAGGAAAAAAGGAAGGGAGGCAGGGAAGGAGGGAGGGAACAAGGGGAAAGCCAAGGACCAATGAGTAAATACAGACGGAGTGTTGGAGGAGGAAAAATCATCAGTTTGCAGTCATTATGGTAAAGACTATATCATGCAAGAATCAACAATGGTTGCTAAATCTAGAGGGAAATTTTGATGAGGAGCAGGAAATTTGCATGATCTTATAAGTCTCTGCCTATTAATCGCAAAAGAAGGAACAAAATAATTATCATACAGTCAGAAAATTGGGCTACACCTTGACCTTGGACAAGGTAAGTAAGATCAACATTACCTATAAAGGACAGAAAGACATGATGGGCCTCCAGATGTGATAACCTGAGAAGGACACATCTTCTAAGAGGCAAGATTCTGGCCAAGAACACATAATCTCAATCTAATGACAAGAAAACGTCAAACACAACATGCGGAACACTCTAGGCAAAAAAAAAAGGGATCTGTATTCTTCAAAAATGTCATAAATTACAAAGAAATGCTATGGAAATCTCCCAGATTTAAAAAGGCTAAAGAGACATGGCAACTAAATATAATATCTAACCCTAACTGGACCCTATACTGAACAGAGGGAAATGCTACAAAGGACATTATCAGATCAATTGACAAAATTGGGATTATGGATAGTAAATTGAATCAATACAAATTTACGAAGTTGACAATTATACTGCAGTTATATAAGAGAATATCCCTATTCTTCACTGAAGTGTTCAGAGATAAAGGACCATAACTGATTCTCAAAGGATTCAGGAAAAAAAAAATTACACACATACAAAGAGAGAGACGAGAAGAAAGTGAGTAAATGATAAAATAGGATGAAGTGTTAACAATAGGTAAATCTGGATAAAGAGCAAACAGCTGTTCCTTGTATTATTTTACTCTTGCAACTTTTTCTAAGTTTGAAATTAGTTCCAAATAAAAAGTTAACTATATATGTATTCAACTAGACCTACAGTAGCCACTAGCTACACGAAGCTGTTGAACAGTTGAAACAGTCCAAAGTGAGACACAGTGTTAGTGCAAAATACACACCAGATTTCAAAGAATTAGTAAAAAAAAAAAAAAAAAAAAGAATGTAAGATAGCTCATTAAAATTTTTATATTGATTACATGTTGAAATATTTTAGATACAGCTATCTGTTAACAATGGCGACACGTTCTGAGAAATGCATCATTAGGCTATTTTATTATTGTGTGAACCATCACACAGCGTACTGACACAAACCTAGATAGGAGAGCCTACTACACAGCTAGGCTACATGGTACAAATCTTATGGGACCACTGTTGTACACGAGGTCCTTTGTTGACCGAAACACTGTTACGCAGCACATGACTGTATATAGAGCCAAAGAAAATATATTTTAAAAATTAATCTCCCTCTTTTTACTTTTCAAAAATGTGGCTACTAGAAACTTGAAATTGCATATGTGACTCATATTTGCGCTGGACAGTGCTGAGCTAGACAATCAAGAATCTCCACAATGAGTTGTCACACTATCTTTGTAAATCTCTCTCTCAATTTCATTCCGCTCGAAACAGATCTCCATCTCCAAAGTCACTTGGTTTTAAATTACTTAACAGTGGGGACTACTGTCTTATGCTGTTGTATCCCCAGAATCTAGCACACAGCAAGTGTTACAAATAGTTGTTTACTGAAAGGCAATATGCCAAGGAAGGAGGGCAGGCAGGAAGAATGAACTCATTTCCACCCCTGGCTCTTTGCTTATACTGTAACTCATTCCTAGAATAAAACTGTTCTCTTCTCCTAATCACACACATTCTTCAAAACCCCATCTCATGCCCATTTTCTCCAACGCGACTCCCCACTCACGCAGGTTCTTTTCTGATCTGTCCTCCTCTGTACTACTACAGCCTTCACTGCCTATATCACTGACTTTGGCACTTAATCATATATGCCCCTTAAGGAACACAAATGTGCATTTTTCCTGTATCTTCCACAGTGACTAGCATATAGTGCTAACCATATCAGTCGAGTGGGGGGGAAAGGGCAACAAAGCACCAGAATAAGGGAAATGGACTGGGAGTTGGGAAAAATTGGATCTAGTCTCAGTATTGACATCCACTAATTGTGTTACCTTAGATAAATCACTTAATCTTTCTGTTTCTCCTTCCTCATCTTAAATCAGAAAGATAAACCTGTTGACCATGAAGGAGGCCTCCTCTTTCTACAATTCTAGAATTAAATCCATTTTTTCTTTAGCAATATTATTGATATATAACAGGAAAAGGAAATCTAATATACTAATGTTAAATCAGAGTAAGTTCCTTAAGAAAGAAATGGCAACAAAGTTTACAAACTGCCTTAAGTACTAAACGCTGATCATCCTTCTGGCCATTAAGCACTTTAAATTCACATTTCTCTTCTAAGGACTATTAAGCAAAATAGTCAATACATACATATTGGAGCTATCTCAATTTTTTTTTCCAGACCCTTTCACGCCTGAGAGAGACATCTTTTAACAAGCTAAAGGGAAAAAAAAGAAAAGAAGAAGAAGAACCAGAAGAAACTAAATTTTCTATAAAGTACCCTGGGGACCTTACTGGTGATACTCAAAGATTCTGAGCTATAACTGATTATAACCACATTGTCTGTTTCTCCTTTCAAAAGCGCTATTTAAAGCACGCTATTCAGAAAAAAATTACAACAGTTAAAATGAAAAGGTCATCTAAAAACAGAATGATAAAAGAATGAAATATAATTTCAAAGCATGGAGACCATTTCAAACAAATCTCTAAATCAGCAACTTTAGTTTTCATCTCATATCTTAATATCCCCACTGAGAAATAAGATTATCAGGGTGGGGTAAAATAAAATGATTGCCATGTTACATAAAGATTCAAGTTATACTTGTTAGTAAATACTACCTGTGGAGTTAATCAAATACATATTCCAGGTTCTAAACTAGTAATACAAATCACAAGACTTCCTTAAGGCTTTTATCAAAATGCCCCTACTAAATGGTGAGCATTAACACTGACCCATCTACAAGATAAAAGATAAACTACTCCAAAGGGACTGTAGGTCCTCTCGTGATCTGGTTTGTAGCTACCTCTGCAGCCTCATCTCCCACCAATCCCCACACGTCATTTCACTTCCTAAACTTAATTGTTCACATTCCCCCTAATATTACCTGCCCCTCTTATGACTCCAGGCCTTGGCATTTGCTGTTCCCTCTGCCCTTCCCTCTTTTAAGCAGCAAATACTCCCTCCTCCCTAAAGCTTTTCCTGACTGCCCCAACACCCTCCCACAAGTGGCTCCCAAGGCCAAGTCATGCTTCTATTCCATAGCACTGTCCACTTCCTCAACCAGGGTGAGTTCCAAAGGGAGGACTTAACTGTTCCCCAGACCCTGGCATAACACTGGGCATTAACTGACACTCAATACAAGGACACGGAAGAAAAGAAAGTTAACTATGAGAAACACTTCAAACTTTCCTATCAGAGTATATATGCTTAACACAGTGCTTCTCAACCAAGGGCAATTCTGCCCCAAGGGAACATTTGGTAAAATCTGGAGATACTTTTGGTTGTCACGATAGGAAGGAGGAGATTTGGGGGGTGCTACTGGCATCTAGTGGGTAGAAGCCAGGAATGCTGCTAAACGTCTTACGACGTACAAGACAGCCCCCCACAACAAAGAATTACCCAGACACAAATGTCAACAGCGCCATGGTGGAGAAACTCAGTTGTCAACAGATTTATTCATATGTGATGATCCCATATCACATCTCAGCAATAACCAGAATAAATTCCAGTTTTGGAATTTCAACTGAAACTTCGGTAACAGTTGATGTGTATGCATGCACCAACACTAAAAATGATCTTTATATAACCTGAATGCTTAATAACATTAAACTAAGAATACCAGAAAGCATCCCATATTTCTGAAAACTAGTTTATACCTACCAGAAGCTACTCTTAAGTCAGTAAACACTTTGTTTTATTTATCAACTTGAAAGCAAACCACAGGCAAACTAATTTTTACTTAAAGAACTATGACCGAAACACAATCTGAGGCATGAGGTAATCAGCTCCTCCAAGTCCAATAAAAGAACAATCCCTAAGTCTTGCAAGTAAATCAGGCACAGATGTCTTTCCTGTTGAACACAGGAACTGATGGCACGGTAAAGGGCATGCTCTTGCTACTGCGAAAATCCTCAGCTCATCAAGATTTCAAAGAACTGACAAGACCACTGCAAAAGAATCAGCAAATGTCAACAGCGGGTGGCAGATCCAGAAGTTAACTATTTCTCCCCAATACACGACCACGTTGCACATGACTTGAACATTTCACAAAGCTCTGCAGATGCAGGAACACTCCCTTTCCATATAGTGGATGACTCAACTCCCTTTGGCACAAGTCCTTAGCTAAATACTACAAATCCAATAATTTCTTTTGTCCTTTAAACTAGTTAGCAATCTATCAGTTTCAAAAAAAAAAAAAAGAAGCTATCCAAAACAAAAACTTGAGTACTGTGCCTCTTATAGGAAAAGAGATTTTAATTCTTATTCTAGGACCTGGTTCCCCAACAATACACCTACAGCTTCCCAATGCTCTAATCTTTACATCCTAAGGTTGTTGCAGATTTCCAGTAGAGAGAGCGCTGGCAGAAAGTGAAGGAGTAAGTCTGTAGCCCTGGACACAGCTCACTGCGGATTTATTCCTGGAGAGCTCCAAAAAGATCCTGGGCTAGGAGGGGGAAACGCATTTTTAACTGGGGGGAAAAAAAGTTTCCAACAGTGAGTAAGATCTTCCTTCCCAGCTGACTCGGCCAGTAATGTCGGAACCCCACTGGGCCCAAGCCAGGCGGGGTTTCGCCACGTGACCCTCGGATATTGACCAGGTGCGAAACGAAGCCGAGCGCCGCAGGTGCGTGTCGTGCAAAGTTGGGGACACGGACGGCGGGGGAAGACCGAAGCCAGCCTCCCCCGGGTGTTTTTTCCCGACAGGCGTCCACACTGCGTTCCAGGAGCCGGGAGGAGGCCCAGCACCACACCCTCCCGCGGCCCCGCTCGCCCTGACGGCCCCGCGCGGGAGCGGGAGCGGCCTCGGCGTGCGGAGCCGTGAGGGACTCGGCGCCCGCCCCCGGCTCCAGCCTGCCGCCCCGCCCCGCCCCCGAGGCGGCCGGCCGCGGCCTAAGCGCCTCCCGGGCTGCGGGGCCTAGGAAGGAAGCGCCCGCGCCGCCGCCCCGGCTCCTCCGCGCGGCCCTGGCTCGGGCTCCCCGCTCACGTGCCGCCGGGAGACGGTTTCCCTCTCTTACCCTCTGTAAAATCCTCCTCAGCATGGTTCACACACCGCCCGGGCCGCCGCCGCGACGCCCGGACCCTCCGCGGGGCACTGATACTCGGGCTGCGCGGCCGGGAGGGCCTAAGCCGGGAGGGGCCCGGGGAAGAGGTCGCGGCGAGGCGGTGGCGGCGGCCGCTCGGGCAGCCCGGACTGCTCCACAGGCGGCGAGAGGGAGCGCGCACGCGAGCGACCAGCCAGCCGGTGAGCGCCCGCCCGCCCGCGGGGCCGCCCCCGTAACTGACAGCTGGGCGGGCCCGCCGCCGCCGCCGGCCCGCCCTCTCGGCCTGTCCATCCGCGGGGGGCGGGGCTGGAAGGGACCTGGCCAGGGCCTGCGACCAATCGCAAGCGGCGGCGGTGTGGGCGGCTGCGTGACGGACAGGCGGCAGGACGCCGGCGCCGCCGCTCCTTTGGGCGGGCGGGGGGACGCCGGGGCCGCCGAGCGCACGCCCGCGCTCCGTCAGAGGCCGCGCCGGCGCGCCGACCGCGTGCCCGTGAGGGGGACCGTGGGGAGGCCTGCGGCCCCGGCTGGGGTGTCCCCGACCGCAACCGGAGGAAGGGATCCGGGGCTGGTACCTGCGACGGCACCTGTGACAGCTCCGTAAATTTTGTCCGTGGGACCCGAGCCTTCACCGAGTCTGGGCTGGATCCTCATGGCTGCTGGAAGCTCTTCGCCCCTGGGTGGAAGCAAAGGAGAGCCTCGCAGACTCGATTAACCCGTCTGTTGGGCGTCTTGCCCCTGGTTTCCTTCCCCTGCTCCCTTCTTGATTCTTAATTTCAGCCAAAGAGAAAGTAAAGAATCAGAAGAAAAGGTAGGGAGAAACTGGAATTTGAGTTGTAAGAGAAGTTTGGGGTTGTCCTTTTTGAACCATAGCAACATAATACTTAAAGGACTGATGTCGCTAACATGTTGCACTTTCTCAAGTGCATGCTTGGCCCGTTCTCCTAAGGAATTTTAAATCGTATTCCCTTCATAGATCTATGAATTGAGTCGACATGAATTCCTCTGTTTCACAGATTAAGAAAAAATAACGAGGTCACGGATAAACAGCACGCCAAATCAAGGGCGTGAACTTGGAACTGACTTCCAGACAGGATGTCATTATAAACTCAAAAATCACAGCTCCCGAGTCCTCCCATTCTGCTAGTATTCTCAAGCTAAGAGGCTGGACTTTCACCCCGGGATGAAGAGAGAAGCCTTAAATATTGTGTAAATAGGGAAAGAGAGGGAATAATGCAGTTCACTTTGCTGGGGCCTGGGGAGGAGGGCGGGGTGGACACAGACCCTGAATTCTGCCGAGCAATGAATGGAGAGCTTATTGGAAAGTACTTCCAGAGCGTTCAAAAAGATGCAGCAAAATGTAAAAGTGTTTTGTAAAGTATAAAGCATTCTATAACGTAATATGTTGTTTCTATCCCAGGCATGTTCTGTTTTTTACTCTGTGTGTGTGTGTGTGTGTGTCCATAGGGCAGCAGAAGACTCGTGCCTGTAACTAATACATTATTAATCACTATTGATAATAGTGTACTTAAATACTTCCAGGCAAACATAGCAAAGCACACACTTTTTCATCTTTCCAGACACAAAATGCTTGGTTTTCAAACGATATGGGAACTATTTTCACTGACCTAGGGTGAAAAAACTGTGACGTAATAAATAAACATTTGATCTCTGCCCCCAATTCCTGACACAGAGCTTCTAAAACCCTTGTAATCTCCTGAGTGATAGGGTGCTAGGGGCATCTTTTGTCCTAATATTTGACCTTTGACTCTGGTTCCTGACACCAGAGCTTCTGAGAACCTTGAAATCTCCAGAGTGATAAGAATGTCTTTTTGTATGCTAATGAAATGAATGATGGTTGGGGGTGCCTAGATAGCTTTAGGAATGGGGGCTGATCTCCAGAAAGACCAAGGTGTGATTAGAAGGTTGCAACTTTCAGGCCCACCCTCCACCACCTCCAGGGAGGGAAGAGGCGCTAGAAGAGTTCATCACCAATGGCCAGTGATTTAATCAATCATGCTGATGTAATGGAACCTCCATAAAAACCCTAAACAATGGGGTCTGGAGAGCTTCTGGGTTGGTGAACACATCAAGGTCCTGGGAGGATGACATGCCCTGAGATAACAGGGAAGGTCGTACCTCTTCCCCATACCTTGCCCTGCGCATCCCTTCCATTTGGCTGTTTGGCTGTTCCTGAGTTGTATCCTTTGTAATCAACCACTAATAGTAAGTAAAGTGTTTCCCAGACTGCTGTGAGCATTATAGCAAATTATCAAGCCTGTGGAGGGTGTCTTGGGGACCCCCAATTTGTAGCCAGTTGGTCAAGAGTACACTTGGCAACCTGGAACTTGAGATTGGTATCTGAAGTGGGGGCAGTCTTGGGGGACTGAGCCCCTAACCTGTGGGGTCTGCACTAACTTCAGGTAGTTAGTGCCAGAATTGAATTAAATTGTAGGACGCCCAGTTGGTGTCCAGAGACTTAGAGAATTGCTTGGTGTAGAATAAAACCCCACACATTTGGTGTCAGAAGTGTTCTAAGTAGAGTAAGGAAACAGGTTTTTCCATTTAAAGTGACATTTGTTTCTCTTTTTTGTTTGTTTTTGGAAAATTAATTTAAAGCTTCTTGTGGATGTCTCACACTAAGGCCTTCTGTACTGGAAGTCTCCCATGGAATCTTGTGACTGATATGATAGACTCTCATCTACTGCTTAGCTAGATGGCTTATGCAGAAGACTGAATAACCCCATCACTGGACTAATACACCAGAGAACTTAATTCCTCCAAAGGAAAAGAAGCAGTGAGTGAGGGATAATCATGTAAGAATATCCCTCACTAATTTAGCAGCTTCCCACACATAGTGGTCCTGCTTCCTCCATCTGGCCACTAATTCCTAGCCATTCAGCTCCCTTACATTAATATTCCATCAATTCTTTGACTCCATCAAGACCTCAAGTCCATTGGCCTCTCTTAGTTGCTTACTATCAGCCATTTCCCAAGCATCCTTATTTTCATCAAAACCCAGCTTAAAGCCCATGATCCAACTTTATTACTCCCCACCCTGTGCAAATATGCTCAACTTGTTCAGCTCTCCCTTCCTCCGTTGTTTTCATCTAGCAGAACGCACAGCCAGCTGTCCACCTGCTCTGTGCTGCACAAGAGCAGCTGAATATCATTAGAGGGACCCATATACACCTGGGACGATTGGGCTCATTTTACTTGAATAGCCACAGATCTCAAGACTCAAGACTGTCCAGCAGCAGACCTTTTACACTTTCCTCCTGTCTTTCTCCAGATCTCCAAAATGTCCTTCACACCTATAGGTGTTTCACTGTCTTCCCTGGCAATTTATTCTTAACTCACTCTGATGAAGCCTCCCTCTCACCTATTCCAATGAGACGGCTCGTGTTAAGATCACTAATGACCTAGTTGTTGCCTAATCCAGTGACAACTTTATTGTTTTGACTTTGGCTCTCCTTTACATTGAAAACAGTTGACCACTCTCTCTTTGAATTATTTTATTCCCTTGGCTTCCTTGACAATATACTTTCTGGTTTTCTCCTCAATGACCATTCCTTCTCAGACTCCACTTAATGTTACAGTGCCCCCTACTCTGCTCTAGGAACCCTCCTTTTATCTGTCACTCACAGCTTAGAGGTGATCTCTGCCAGTCTGGAGTCTTTAAATTTCATCAGTTTGCCCAAGACTCCCAAATCTATATCTGCAGCCCTCACCTCTCCCCAGATCCCCAGACTTGTATAACAAACCATCTACTTCCTGTTTCCTCTTGGATGTCTAATGAGCATCTCAAACTTAACGTGGCCCAAACAAAACCATTCATTTTTATCTTCAAAACTGCTTCTTCACCAGGTTTCCTGTCTCAGTATGTACTACTACCCGTTACTTAGTTGGGCCAAACCAAAACTCTTGGAATTATGGTTAATTTCTTTCTTTATCTCATCACTTTCCCTCCCTCCAGCCAATCCATCAGGAAATTGTGACAGGTCTGTCTCTAAAATATATCCTACATCTGCCACTTCTCTTTATCATCACCCTAGTCCACAGCACCTCAGTCTCCTATCCAGACTACTATGCGTCTCCTGGTTGGTCTCCGTACTTTTACTTTGGCTAGAGAAGCAGCTAGGAACACAGCAGCTAGGAACAACTTTTAAAAATGCAAATCAAATAATGTCTCTACCTCCTTGATTGTAGTTTCCCATCGCAATCACAGTAAAATCCAAATACCTTATCCTGGTTCACGTACCCTGTCGAGCTGGACCTGCCTGCTTCTCTGCCTTCCACTTATAACACTCCTCCCTTGGTTCTCTATGCCCCAGCCTCCCTGGGGCATAGAGCCTCCTCTCTCGCACAAAGCTTTCTCCTGCCTTTGCACCAACTACTTGCTATTTAGGAAATGCTTTACCTGAGATCTTGTGGTTAATTTTGTGGCATTCATATTGTACCTTAAAAGTCGTCTCCTCAGAGACATCTTCAAGGATCACCTCATCTAACGTGGTCTCCACACTCTATCACATCACTCATTTTAATTCTCTGCAGAGTAGAGAAAACTACCATTTCTGACTTTTCTTACTTGTCTATTTATGTCTCTCCAACGAGAATGTAAGTTCCCCGAATGCAAGGACCTTGTCTCTTGTTCACTGCTGTATCCTCAATAATTAAAACAGTGTTCAGCTAAAGGTTAGCACTAAATAAATATTTGTTGAGTGAATTAAAGTAAGAAAGGAAGGAAGGAAGGGATAGAGGGGGGAAGGAGGGAGGCAGAGAAAGAAAGAAAGATTGAGAAAGAAACTGAGGAAGTAAGGAAAAGAGGGAGGAAGGAAGGAAGGGAGGAGGGAGGGAGGGAGGAAGAGAAGGAAGGAAGGAAGGGAGGGAGAGAGGGAGGAAGGAAGGAAAATTAATTTTCAGACCAGTTGTTCATTACTTACTTACTTACTTACTTACTTACTTACTGGATAAACCCTCCAAAACGTGTAGCCTCTTTTTCCCCTGACTATGTTGATTTTAAACATATCTGCAAATTGTTTGACCCACTTCTCCCACCAAAACGTAGAATCTAATTGTCCTTCCTTTGAAGGAGTGAAGTATGAGAGATGATCAACCTGCACCCAGGTTTATAGCCAGAGGACAATTATTAACTACCTCCCATACATTCTCAGTTGGTTACCAGACACTCTTATGGTTTCTATTACATGTTGTTTGCTAGTGATCCCCAAATCTCCATTCTGGCTTTCTCTACTGAATATGAAACCCAAATATCCAACAGCCTACTGAACAAATCCACTTAGATATCCCACAGAATCCTCAAGCTCAATTTGAAATGTCCAAATTCTACACTGACTCATCATTGCCTCTTCTGCCCACCCTTCGCTCACTTCCCTAGATGCTCCCGGCTTCCTATATCGGGGCTGGCTCCACCATGCCCAAGCTAGAAATCTGAATGTCATCTTTGTTCCCTTTTTATTTCTGCCTATATTCAATTAGTCATCCGGTTCTATAAATTTTACCTCACTTTGACCCATTTTTCATTTCACTCCCTTCTAACTTTGGTTGCCAACTCATCTCTGATTTTAGTCCTGCATCCCTGTAATTCATTTTCCACACTGCAGCCGAGTGACCTTTCTAGACCACAGATCTGATCATCATTACTCCCCGCTTAAAATTCCTCACTAGTTCCCCATCATTTTGAGGATAAAAACCCAAACTCTGCTGTGGTTTGCAAAGCCTTCACATGCTCTTGCTCCTGCTACCCCTCTGTCCTTATCTCTTGACATTATTTTCTTTGCACTGTTCTTCAGGCATGCTAAACTATCGCAGTTTTCTGGCTCATCACAGTCTCTCCCCTCCTTCTGGGTCATTACGTATCTATTCCATATACCTGGAGTGTTCCTTACATTCATCCTCCTCCTGTCTATCTAATTCCTACTTATCCCCAATTCTCACCCTCACCCCCAAACTAGGCTACATGGCCTGTGTGTGCCTCCATTTTGTACTCAACCTTATTATGGGGGAGAAGAGACTTTGGGTCACAGACTCAAAACACTCTAGGCTACATGACAAGTTTGTCCCTAAGCTGCATCACTCAATGACCTCTTCTTGTTCTGAAGACAGACCCAAAAAATTTTCAATTATGATTGGCTTCCAAGGTAGTTTTGTCTTAAAGAATAAATGCACTGGTCCTGTTGATTCAAGCCTAACCATCCACATGAATATTTTATTGCCCATTGTAAATTAATAAAATGACATTTCAGTCTCTGTAAGCTTGGATAACATGAGTTTGCCAAGAGAAGACTTTATTTTCAATGTGCTGACAAAAATTCAAATTTTGAGCCTGCAAAGCAAAGATCCAGAGCTTGTTCTGCAAAGCAAAGATCCAGAGCTTGTACCACAGTGAACTTACCAATGTAA